TCTTGTGATTCTACATATAAGTAAAATCACATGGTATTTATCTTTCTCTGACTTATTTCACTCAGCATAATACCCTCTAGGTCCAGCCATGTCATTGCAAATGGTAAGATTGCCTTTTCTATGGCTGAGTGATATTCCATTGTATATAGGTCCATCAACTTCTTTATCCAATCATCTATCATAGGACACTTCAGTTGCTTCCATGTCCCGGCCACTGTGCATAATGCTGCTATGAACATGGATATACAAATATCTTTATGGATATGAGTTTTCAAGTCTTTAGACTTGAAATTTAGATGATCACTCTAAATTTCAATTTTGGGGTATGTAATTACTTACTTTTCTATTTTTTTCTATCTTTTTATCAGTATGTACCTTAATCAAAAAGTAATTGCCTTTCATTGAGGTCCTGAAATGCTTTCTTGTGAATAAGGCACATGAGCTTTAGCACATAAATTTAGAACAATTATTTCGATTTTGCAATGATTTACTTTGGTTTTTCATTATTCATTCCATTTTTTAAATTGTGTTTATTAAATAAGGTACTTTCATGTAATCAATGTGTATTTAAATCTATATACAGTGATTGGTTCTGATATGCCAGAAGCATTACCATTTATAAGGACTAGGATAACCATGTGCATTCCTGATCTTTACTGCAGTTTGAACATAGTAAACCCTTTATTTAGATAGAGTGACTGGAACTTCTCTTCTTTGTACATTAGATAATAAAGACTGAAATTCGCAGATTGGAAATTCGGGCAGGAGTTGATGTTGTAGTCTTGACTCCAAATTCTGCAAGGCAGCGGGCTGAAAACTCAGGCAAAGTTTTATGTTGCCATCTTGAGAATTTTCTTTTTTCTAGAGAACCTCAGTCTCTAATGCCTTCAACTGGTTGGATGAGGCTCACTACATTGTGGAAAAGTGTATGCTTTATTCAAAGTCTACTGATTTTAATGTTAATCACATCTAAAAATTTCTTCACAGCGACATCTCTGCTGGCGTTTGGCCAAACAACTGGGCGCCATAGCTTACTCATGTTGATATATAAAAGTAATCATTATAGTTAATCTTTTCAATTTTAATGATTCTAGTAGGTATGTAGTAGTATCTCACTGTGGTTTTAATTTGCATTTCCCTGATGACTAATGATGTTGAACACATTTTCATGTGCTTATTGGATATTTACATAAGTTCCTGCTTCAGTCTTGTCTTTTATTAAGTTGTTTGTCTTTTTACTATTGAGTTAGGAGAGTTATTTATATATTCTATATTCAAATCCTTTGTTAGATATGTGTATTGTGACTATTTTCTATGCATCTATGGCGTGTCTATTTATTTTCCTAGTGTAGTCTTTTGATGAGCATATTTTCAAATTTTATGTAGTCTTTTATTATTTTATTTTTTTCTTTTTTGGTTAGTACTTTCTGGATAAAATTTAAAATTCTTTGCCTACCCGAGGTTCATGATCATATCCTATTTTTTTTTTTCTTGAAGCTTTTTATTTTAAGCTTTAACTGTAGATCTGTGCACTATCATGAATTAATTTGTGTGTATTGTGAGGTACAATTGAGGTTCTTTCTCTTCATGGGGCTATTCAGTTGTTCCCATACCACTTATTAAAAAGAACTTTTTGGTTCACCAATTAGAAGTTAAGAAAATCACATGGTACAAAAATTATCTGTAAACTTATTCCCTCCATTAACAATGACATTGAGTCTCTTCCTCTTTTTATTTTGAAATAACTATCGCTTCACAGGAAATTGCAAAGAAATGAACAGAGAAGTACCATGCAACTTTTATACCTCCTCCCCCAATGTTGACATCTTCATAGTTATAGTAAAATATCAAAACCAGGAAATTGACCTTGATAAAGTACACAGAGCTTATTCAGATTTCCCCATTTATACATGCATTCATGTGTGTGTGTGTATAGTTTTATGCAATTATGTCACATATGTAGCTCTGTGAAACTACTACCTCAGTCAAGATATAAAAGTGTTTGATCAGCACAAGGCTTCCTCATGCTACCCCTTTATAGGTACTGCTAACCCCCCGTCCCTAAACTGGTAACCTCTAATCTTTTCTTCATACCTATAGTTTTGTTATTTCAAGAATGTTATATAAATAGAATCATAGGTAACTTTTTAAGACTGGCTTTCTTTTACTCAGTGTAATTCCCTTGAGTTCCATCCAAGTTATTGAATGTATTAATAGTTTTCTTTTGTTTGTTTGTTTTCTGTATAGTATTCTGTGGTATGGACATAGCACAGTTTGCCAGTTTGTTTAACAATTAACCTCTGAAGGACATTTGGATTATTTCTAGTTTTTGCTTATGAATAAAGCTGCTACGAACATTCATGTACAGATTTTTGCATGGATGTAGGTTTTTATTTTTCTGAGACAAATGCACAAGAGTACAATTGCTTGTTTGTATGATATAGTAGGCAAAGTGATGGCCCTCCAAAGATGTCAACGCCCTAATCCCTGGAACCTGTGAATATATTGCTTTACATGGCAAAAGGGACTTTGTAGATGTGAAAAAATTAAGGATCATGAGGAGGGGAGACTTTCCTGGATTATCTTTGTGGACGCAAAGTAATCAAAAGGACCCTTATTGGGGGAAGGAAAGAGAGTCAGAGTCAGAGATATAAGATAGTACCCTGTTGGCTTTGATGATAAAGAAAGGGACTATGAGACAAGGCATGCAGGCGGCCTCTAGAAGCTGGAAAAGGTGAGAGACATTCTCCGCTATAGCATCTAGAAGAAACTGATTTTAACTCAACACCTTGATTTTAACTCAAAAGACCTATCTCTTACTTCCGACCTCCGGAAATGTAGATAATAAATGTGTCGTTTTAAGCCAATAAGTTTGTGGTAATTTGTTTATAGCATCAATAGAAAACTGATATACATGGTAATGAAATTTTTAGTTTTAGAAGAAACTGCCAAACTATTTTCCAGAGTGGATATCTCTGTTTTTTAAGGGTTTACCCTTTTTTTCAAGAATCAACACATAGTCTACTTCTTTTATGAAGTCTATTCTTATTCATTTATTGAATATTTTTATTTTAATGCTTTTTAAGTGTCAGACACTGTTCTAAGAGTAGTGAACAATACAAACAAGGCCGCTGCTTTCATAGACATGAAATTCCAGAGAGGAGACACAGATAATAAATACATAAATGTACAAATCAAGATAATATCAGGTAGAAATAAATGCCATAAAGAAAATGAAATAGCTGTAGTAGTTGCTTTAGCTTAGCTGGTTGGAGAAGGCCTTTCTAAGAGGGGAAATTTGAACTGAGAATTGAACATGGAGAAGGATCCAGCCATGGAAAAATCTTCAGAAGGAACATTCTAGATAGGGATAGCAGCTTGAAACAACTGCTACTGAGCAGAGCAGAAGAAATGTGCTAGAGCACAGTGAACAAGGATGAGGCATTCTGGTAGATGAGATCATATAGAAAGGCAGGGGACAGATCACTGATGCCCTCATGGTAATGGATAAGGAGTTTAGATTTATTCACTGTGTAATAGAAAGCTGTTGGAAGATTTCGATCAGGTGAAGGGCATGATGTGATTTATTGGGATATAGTCAACAAGATTGCTTCTGGATTGGCTATGGGCATAAAAGGAAAGAAGAGTTTTTGCCTGAGAACTAGAGGATAGTGGTATCCTTAGCTTTGGCTTATTATATTTTGGGTATATGGTACGGAGAGGGCAGAGATATAAATTAAGCCATTATTTATATATTTGAGTGGACAAGTTGTCAATTGACAATTAGAGGTTGGCTCTGGAGACATAAATTTGGGAGTGATTAATTAGTGTTTCAGTTTATGAGCTTGGTTGAGACTCACCTGGAAGAGTGAAGATAAAGAAGAGAGGGGTTCAAGATACTTCACCTTATGGATACAGTAGAGGTGAAGAGCTTTACCAAAATTTGAGTAGTAGCACTCTGTGAAGATGGAGAAAGACCAGGAGAGTATCAAATCATGAAGCCAAGAAAACAAAATCTTTTAGGAGAGAAGCTATAGACACTTGTGTTGAGTGCTACTGAGAAGTCAGAAAGATTAGGAGGATGGCTGAAATTAAGTTGTGCCAGTGAAGTATGATGGAGGGAAAGTATACAAGGAATGAGGGAGTGATTATAACAATGGGCAATGGAATCTGTGCTAGATGCATACAGAAGGAAATGTAGAGATAAATTAGGTGATAAGTAGTTTAATGATGAAGCTGATGGGTCAGTAGGCTCAGCGAACCTGGAGAGTTAGATGTTAGCGTGTGAATAATAAAATAGGTGAGCCGTAAGTGTTGGTAAAAAGGATGCTTGAAAACAAGATTTGGGAAATAGCACAGTAATTAATGATGATAAGATCAAGGTATGTATGATAGTGGGAAATGTGGTGGAAGGCAGCATCACAGGTCTGGAGAAGGCCAAGGAAGAGAGAGGCCAGGCAGCGTGTTAAATATGTGGTCCATTTGGATATTGAAATTACCAAGAAGATGTCAAGAGCCAGGAGTACAACATAAGCCAATGACCCAGGTATCAATGATTTGCCCAATCAAGTATAATCTCTTTCTCAGTGAACTTCCCTTTTAATTTTGTACCTCCTTAGTAACTCTTTTCTTATTCTTTGCCTTTTGTGTACTTGATTTTTTCCCTTCTTCGAGATTAGGTAATAAGAGTTTGTTATCTTTTATGGCACGAAGTACATGGTTTCCAGTAGAGTGTGGCAACGAATAAGAGATTTTAAATAGTGTTTCTAGGAAGCCTCTGTATGACTGAGAACCATTTCATTAAAGGCTATTCTAGTTTGGAATAGGTAGAATACAAGACAATGATATATTTTAAGTATAGCATTTTAGGGAAATCATACATCATATGACAAAGACATTAGAAACAGTCAAAATTTATTTTAGAAGAAAGTTTTCAATTTTTAAATAGTATAAAAATACATAGACAAATATCAACATCGATATTTTACATAAGTTAATTTAAATACACATTTTTCTGAGGCACTAAAACATTCACATACACATTCCAAATTCCTAGACAGGTTGATGTTAATAACAAATCAGTTTTTAAATCAGTGATGTTAACAGTTTTATTTATTCAAGCATTTCTAATGGTGACTATTTCTTTTTTAACCATAAACCTTTTAGACATAAAATCTTAAAGAAAAATTTCCCTGAGTTATTTCTCTTTAGTGAAATTTCATTTTCTCCCTTTGCCTAATAGACATGCTTTTAATTATTTACACAAATACTAATGTCCATAATCAGTGCTCGATTTTAAAATATTAAAATCTATAGTGCTTTGCACAGAATGTCTCCTCAATACGTTATGGCTGAATTAGTTAATGAAGCATCCACAGGTTCTTAAAAAAGTATATAAAAGGTCAGTCTCAGGGCACATCCAGACTAATGAGACACAATATTCTCTGTGGGCTGGTGTATAGGTAAACCTTACAGACAAAAATTCCAACCTTATAAAACTCAGTGTATCGGAGTTGGGTTCCTGAAAATTTATTCACACATCTTCATCCACTAATTTCTCATGATTCAGGGAGGTAATCTGTCGAACTCAAAAATAGTTCAGAGAGGTAATCCCAAAGAAGATATAGTGATTCTGACAATAATGCAAATAAAATAAAATAAAATAATAAAATAAAATTTAAAAAAAATCAGTAATTACAGGCTTTAACTCAATTTTTAACAATAGTGTCCTAACAAAATATAAATAACAATCCTCAATAAATTAACTAATGTACAGTACCAGAAAGTGTCTGATGACAATGAGATGTGGAAAAGAAGAAGCATTATATTCCTGGGAATTATTCAGGAATTATTTGCTTTTTTTAAAGGAGATAGGACATTCATTAGAATAGAAATATAACTTTCTTTCCATCAGGAGCCCCACAGCTCTTTCTAAGGTATTGGCCTCTTTGTAGGCTTCTTTGGTTACGCAAATTTAAAATTAATTACAAAGTTCTCTGCCTTTCACTTAAAATACGAGGATGCCTTTTGTCAAGGCCTTTTTCAAGGGCTTTCATTTTCTTTTATTTCTTTTAAGAGGAGCTAACTAGTAGTCCTGAGCTGAGGTTTTCCTGAAAACTTGCAAAAGTTCAGGTAAGAAAATATAAACAGAGTCCAAAGAAAGATGAACTCAGATCTTAAACCAGGAAAACAAAATAGAAGAAGTAAACTGATCAGATGAGTTTCTGTTAGCGAAATGGCTAAAAGAATAAAATAAAGGAACAGTGTGCAGGTAGTTGGTTCTAGTGTATCATGAGAGATACACTGTTAAGTATCGATAGTGTAGAAAGAAACTTGCAGCATTCTGCCATCTTGTAACAGCATTTCAATATTCAAACTGCTTCGGTTCTTATTATAACAATCTAAATTGAAATTCAAGTAAAAAGATGTCAAATTCATTTCCCATCGGTCTATAAAAAAAGCAAGGCAATGTTTTTCCCTTTTACTTGAAGAAAAGACATCTTTAAATTAGCGACATGAAAATCTTCACAAGTATAACCCTTTCTCCTTAACAGATATTAAGTCACATCAGGAGTTTAATATAAATATTAAATAATTAAAAGGAATCATTTATATAAATAAATAAATATGATCAGTAGGCTTCTACAGTTCAGTTGAACGTCCTTTTAGTAGTACTGTAGGATTGATATCATCTAGTCCAGAATGGGAAGGGCTTGCACGAATGGTGACTGCTTTGGTGGGCGGTGGATCTTGAACACTGAACGAAGTCGAAGGACAGCCTTTCACATTATTGCAGATGAGAGACTGAATTGAGGCGGTGTTGATGATTTTAAAACCTACTTCTCCACCAAAAGTGCTAGGCTTCCAGTAGTGAGGAGAACATATAGCATTACCCATAAGTCCTTTCAAGGAGAAAGGTGCTCCAAGTTCCACCATGGTCTCACCAAAGATGGCATCTGGACGAGGCTTTTCAACCAGAAGGGCAGGATACAGCTCCATGGCATCAATGTCACCATAAAGTGCTTCTAACTCCGCAGCCATTTCCTTCTCTCCTGTGGAGGTGATAAAGAGAGATATAACCGATGTGAAACTTTACAAAATAAAAAACAAATACTGCTACCCCTTTGCTCAATTTGCTTCCACCTTCTCTGTTGTTTCCATTTGACCCTCTGAATCTGTTAAGAAGTTTAGAAACTGTTTCTCACCTGTAAGTTCTTCAAATGATTCATAGGGCTTCATCAGAAAGCGTTTGCGGTACTCATTGAGAGCCTGGTATTTCATCTGTCTGCTCTGGTCGATGGAAGCCTTTGCTACATATTGTATTGCAGCTGGAAAATTCCTACCACCAGCAACCTGTGGAAAATGAATTACATTATAAAACACAATTTGGGGGAATATTTACAATTTTTTTTTAAAAGTATTCCTTGGATACAAAGTAGGTAAAACTGATGCTCCCAGCTGAGGCCTAAACTATTTAAGTTTGGAATTTATTTCTGTAATCTGTAAGATTATAGAAAGTTTTTGAAATGATTTCTATTTAAGGCATGATTATATATTGCCATTTGATAACTAAAAGCTCTGACTTTTCAAAAAATGTTAGGCCTCTTGTTTTAAGAAAAGAATTTCACTAGCAAAATAATCACTTTTTTAGTAAATTTAACAAAAATAATTTCTGTAGCAGAAATTCTAGTTATGACTAGTCCTTTGTTGTGTTGTTTGTCAATGATAATGCTTACCCTGCCAGCAATTTGCCTACTGAATGATTCAACAAACTGGGTAAGCCCATGTTCCAGTAATATGGAGTTGTTGTAGATAAACTGTCGATAGTCGTACTCTTGGTCTTCGATCTGAAAGGTGTCAGGCAAAAGGGGATGCCAGTGGTAGAGTGTGTTAAACTCAGCAGCAATACGGTTTTGGTACTGGAATTGTTGATTGAAAAGGAGCTCTGGGTCAAACCTCAGTTTGAAGTGATATCCACTCAAGTGTTGTACGTAGTCTTCAATCACGATCTTAATAGTTTCTCCTATTTGCACAAAATAAAGAATTTGGAACATTAATTCTTTCTGATCCCTTACTTTCAGGCAACCGAAACGCAATTTTGTTGTGCTATTTCTTCACTTCTGCTTTTTTCTTTTTACTATTGAAACAAAAAGTAGTTATATTACAGTCATGCTCAAGGATTGAGTTAATATGGAGCCTGTGATTTTACATTCACTGCATTCCCCCAGAATTACTTAAAGCATAGCAAAGGTAATAAACTACTTTTTTTTTTTTAAATGAGGAAGAGGGTTTTATTGAAATGATTTTCTCGTCTTCCTTACCTATCAGTATCAGCCTGCTTGTCTGGAACAAACGCTCGTCATCCCATTCTGGATGCTCCTGTTTAAGCACATCACACACTCTGTTATGCTCTCGCAGCCAAATTGTGGCGTACATCATCAGACCAGGCACCAGACCAAACACTTCCTGCCCCACAGCAAACCGCAGGTGTTCAGGGACGTGAGGGGGATAGATCATCTCCACCTGAGTATCTTTGACTGTGGGAGGATACATCTCTCCATCAATTATCTAAAAAAAATAAACATTCATTAAAAAGTTAAGAAATGAATTAGAGATTTTAAAATACAGGGTAAGTGGTGAGTCATAACTAATTCTTAATATTCAAATGGCACAAACCTGATATTTCAGTTTTCCATCCTTGAAAAGGCGCAGTTTATGCTGTCTATCCAAAGTTTCACCATAAATATGATTTAAATCCACCTAGAAGATTATGGAAAAATTTTATTGTATTGCTGCTGAAGTTGTTCTTGTATAAAGTATCTATGAAATAATTTATTTAGCTTGCTTCGATTAAAAATTTTTAATAAAACACTTTTTTTTCATAGCCATAACATAAAATACTAAATTAATAGTTCTCTCTTACCCCATGACCCAGTCCTTTGGTGAAAGCTGGTCCTCGCTTATGATCTGTCTTGAAAAATTGATGGGTGAAGTGCTGGGCAAAGAATGCAAACATCAAATTTGTGCCCTGGGGATCAGGGACAAACTTTCTTCTTAGGAGAAATTTTTCCACAATCACTTCTGAAGCAGGAAGCTCTTTCTTCCCTGAAAAAAAAAAATGAGAATGCTAAGAATCCATCTATATATTCAAGGAAGCAGAGAGCGACTGTCAATTTACCAGGGCATTCCCCATTTACAGGAGAAATACAACTGTGACCAGGATCAAAAATGAAAGTTCTAAGATATGGGGAAACAATGTTGTATGGAATAATTTTATCTATTTTGTTTATCTATTTTGTTTAACTAGTATGGATTCAGTTTTAATGAAAGAATTTGAAAACATTAAGACATTATGCCAAAATGCTCATTTACTTTCATGGAATAATTTACACAGATTCACATTTTCAAAAAGGGGGGAAAAAAAACTATACTTTTATTACAAAATAAATGATAGTTTAAGGTCAAATTTTCTAAGTAGCAATCCAACCCCCACTGCAATATAGCTGTCTTCTCTCACTCACCTTTCACACCCATGGGAGTTGGGCAGTCGTGAGCCACAGGGGGAAGAACTCTGGTATAATAGGAGAGATTAGAAAAGGCTTCCCAGCTTTTGTAGCCATAGTGTGCATTGTAAGTTGGAGGGCTGTCAACCAAATGTGATCTGGCTGAAATTTTCAAGGAAAAGAAATTGTTTTATTTGTTCCCATATGCAAGACAAATCAATTGTTCATTTTATCATAAAATGTGCGAAGTAGCACCAGAGATTGAATTTAATTCCAACAAAAATACCCTTATTTTAAAATAATTACACTTTAAAGTCTAACTGCCACTTGTACTTAAAAAAGAACGATTCATTAAAATATATCTCTGATAAAGTATGTATGCTTTACACAAGACATGATGGTCTAGTCATCTTGATTTTTCGAAGAACCACCCAAGAAGCTTAGAAGAGGTATGTAGGATTGTAAATAGAATTCTGACTGTGAGGCAAGACTTTATATACTGGATGGGACTGAAATGTCAATATTTGGGGCCATTAAGGTAGAAGGTACACTAAAAAGGTAAGGTACATTTAAAGTCATTCTGACAAGTTTGGAAGTCTGTTTTTGGATTAGGTTTAGTAATCTGTAGTATCAGAAGGCATTATTTTTCTTTGAGGAAGCTGAAAACCTTAGAAAGAGACAATACTTACATGTCAGCACATATTTCATAATTGCATTTCTCAAGAAGGGAATATTATTAACGATGTTCCAGACACCCTTGAAGTGGGTAAGTATGTAGTGCACTGTGTTTGGAGTGGGTTTCAGGTATAATTTTATTCTCGTCAGAAATTCAGCTGCAATAAGAGAAAAAAAAAGGAATGACAAGTTAATGGGGCCCATATTAAGATACAAATCTGTAAAATGATAACTGTATATATCCCCCCTTCCAAATGAGGACACCCAAGGGCAAACTTACGTGTTGAACAGTTTTCACCGTAGAATCCTGTTCGGGTACAGTCACACTTGTACTGGTCAAATCCAACACTCATACATACACCTTTGTTTTGACATGGGTTGGAACAGCAAGGATTTGCTATAATGAAAGTAAGGTCAGTAAATAAATCATTCTTCAGTGTCTTAATCTTGACTTAAACTTTTGTTTTACTTATTACGGGTCAACTTTACAATAATAAATTCAAGAAATATACAGATAGTCATGGGAAAACAATTTTTTTTAAACCTGCCTCACAGAATGATTATAATGTAGAAATACCAATTTCCTATTCTAAATGAGGGTAGCAGAATATTCATTCTTGGAAATCATGTTGCTAAGCTCTTTGGACACTTTTTCAGTGTCCAAATTAGCATTTTAAAGAAGTTCGAATAAGTAGCGCTCTCAAAATTAAAATGGATAGATCTAGTACATTAATCAAAATTGAGGGAAAATTGCAGAGTTAAAACTGCTTACTTTTAAAATACCGTGCTTATGTTAAAATAATGTGGTTTTGGGGGGCAAGAAAGCACTAACTAGGGTATTTAAAACAATTACTCCCAGTCAATAACAGGAGATACACACACACAAACTTTTCACATATATTGATCAGATCCTGTCTTCTTATAATGACAATCTCCAAATTAGTATCACTATCGCTAATTAGCAGAGGAGAAAAGTGTGACCCAGACCGATTAAAGTAACTGGCCCGTAACTGATGATCGGAGCTGGTGGCAAAGCTGGGATATCCACCCGTTCTTTTGGATCCAAGTGGTCCAAGCTCTCTACAAAGTCTACAGCCTCCCTATTCGGAGAGTATTCGGAGCAAGGGGGGGCCCCGGGAAGTCAGAGCAGAAAGAGCCCGCAGCGCGGGGCGAGCGGGACCAGGTACCCACCTGCACCGCTGAGCGCCAGGGCGGCGCAGAGCACCAGGGCGCGGGCCAGCATCTCGGCGGCGGGCGGGCGGCGGCGGCGGCGCGGTGTGCGGACTCGCTGCAGTGAGGCTGGAGGAGGTGCTGGGCGGAGTTCCTGGGCGGACTCCTGACGCTTGCTGCAAGTCCTTTAACAACTGGAAGCTAACGGAGAGAACCTTCCTTTTATGTGTGAAAACGAAGCCCACGTGATGCCGTGACGGTTTCTTTCCGCCTTTCCTTAACCCCTCACCCCCACCCGCAAGCCCGACTCCCGCCCCTCGCTAAATAATTGCGTAAGAGCGGCCGGGGGCTGGAAGTTTTACCCACGCAGATGAGAGAATCAGAAACCCAGGAAGCTGCTCTCGGCTTCCCCGAGGTGGGTGCAAAAAGCGCATTCCCTACTCCGATCTCCCTTCCCCCACCTCGTGCAGCTCCTCTGCCCCTGGAGCCCGGGGTTGCGCCAGATTCCTTTCCTTCCTGCCCATCTTCGTCCCAGCTTTTCCTAGAGACGGTTTTCTAGGCCGATCCCCCTGGGGCGGACAGGGCGGCGGCGGCAGCGGGGCGCTGTGCTCCGTCTACGGGAATCGAGTGCCCGCGGTTGCGGAGCGCACGTAGGGAATCCCCTAGAGCGCCGCCGCCGCCGCCGTGTCTGGTCCCTAGGTCTTTGGAAAGCCTTGAAGAAGTCACGACTTTCTCGTAAGAAATACTGTTCTCCACACCACCAGCGCCCCTTTGCTTCCTGGAGAGGAAGGCGGTAAATTTCTCTCCACGATACTGCTCCTAGGCAGTTATCCTGTAGTCAGTTTGGGCTGGAGCTATCCCCACTATAACATTTCCTCTCCTCTGATGAACAAGGAAAGCAGACGTGCCCAAGATGTGCAGGGATGCTAAACATCTGCTTTAATGTATTTTTTCTTTGCTGTATAGTTTCCACCATTGTAGTCGCCTGTCCTAAACAGAAGCTACAAATAAGAGGAAGATTTTTAAAGTTTGCTTTCTTTGTCTTTCTGCCCTGATGATGATGTGTGACCGTAGATCAAAGTACAACATTGCATTTAGGGCTAATTTTCCAAGACGATGAGGTGTGACCGTAGATCAAAGTACAACATTGCATTTAGGGCTAATTTTCTATTCTTATTTTGGGACACAGTTTGATGAGGAATTGGATGGAATGGATGTAAAGGAAGAATGATTTTAATTTCCCCGTCCGTTGCTTTTGTTTAGTATCTATTGCTTGGTGGTGGCCGCAGCAAAGTGGAGAATAAAAAGTTTAATGAAGCCATCCATACATTCTTAGCATTGATGGAAAAGAACAGCATAAAACTTGAAATAAAACTACACCAGGTACCGCAATTTGTAAAAGTCTTCAAGAAGAAAAGCGACTCACGTTTTTATTTCGCCGTTTTGCTTAATGTACATATTATGTGATTCTACATGAGACACAAATGACTAAAATTCCATTTCATCCCGGAAGCTTTTCCTCTAGTCATATTTAATCATTCCATTTTTGACACTCCCACTTACTGTACTGAGTCTTATGTGAAATAAGAGCATAGATTTTAAAAAATTTTAATCCAATTTTTTTGTTTCATTTTAAACGAGTAGGTTGTATCTACTCAAATTTTAAATTGATTTTTGGGACTACTAATTCAAGCTTGGTGAGATGCCATGTAAGAATCCATTTTCCGACTCTGATAGTGTACTAAAATTTTACATTGTAATCCTGAGTTCATTTTGAAGTTGAGTATCATCATCCTCCTCCTCATCAGATCTTATTCGTATACCTACTATGTATGAAGTGTATTCTGTTGTTTGCCAAGACTGAATTCAAAAGCGAAGACAAAAGAGGGCATGGAGAATAATCACATTTTAGACTACTTGGATCTTAAAGAAATTCCAATCTGTTTCATAGTGGAAATTCAATAAAAAACATCTGTTCTGCTTGGTTTGACTTGTAAATTCTGTAGCCTGCTAGAGTGGAGAGAGTTCTATGTACTTACGGAGTTAGAAAAAATTTAAGGAGAAAATGACACTTTGAGTCATCTAGAAGGGAAGTCCAGTTTAGAAAGGAAGCCCAAGTATGGGCATGAGGAAGAGCTATTGTGACAGGACTTATTAAATAATTTTGACAAATCCGAGACAATAAAATAGAATGATAGTACATTTTGAGATGCTGGTCATTGGGGGTAGATATTAAATGTCTCAAAGCAAATCAAAATGGCTAAACCTGTTTATTTGGAAAAGTATTATGATTATTATGTCATGATGTATCACCATAAATAATTTTTGATTATGTAAAATTTATAACTCGCTTTTGTATATCTTTAGTGTGCTGTGTGTATTTTAGGTAAATGTGTGCATGTGCTGTATAAAATTTATTAGTCTCTGAAATTTGTCGGTAAATTGACTGTTTGAAAGGAAAACAAGAAAACATATTAAAAACATTCGAGTATTCTGTTGAGTTTTTACTGCCCCTTTTTGCTGCTTGAATTTTTATCAACTTTTTTTTCCCTCTATGATGTGTGAAGATCATTAGGTATATTTTATGTTTGAGGTTAAAATGTTTTTAAAAAGCCACATGTGAAGTGTTCATTTTAGATTTAACTTACATGAATATACTGAAAAGAAATGACATGTTTATTATTGGAAGTGATAAGCCATTCATATGAGTTAAAAGAAAATGAACAATACTCTTAATACCCAAAATTCCAAATGAGCTAACATTTTTAAGAGAGACTTGTTTTTTTTTAGTACTTTGAGCAGGGTTCTACCACTCAGACATTGAAGGATGCTCATAACCACTTACTCAGGCAAAGAATCTCACTCCATTTCCCTCCCTTCTACTTTGATTGATTTAGTGATTCACTCAGAGAGAGTGCAGATTGCCTCTGGTCATTTGTATTCATGGCATACTGGCTAGAAAAGGAAGCTTTGCCATATTGCATCAGGTTTATTCTTAAGAGATATTTTTAGCAAGGTCATGCCACAGAGTGTGTCTGTTCCTTGAAAGGAAGAAATGCTACTTTTAAAAGACCTCTTTTTTAGTCTTTAGTAAATCCTTTTTTAATTAAAATGTTAAAAAAAAAAAATCCTTGTCAAATAAAGCCATGAAAAAATAACGAATAATATCCATTTCTAAGTCTTATAAAACATTAATCTTCTTTTTTTCAAAGAACTCAATTCCCTGATTGATTTTTCTTTTTCTTTATTTTTTATAGTAGTATATATCATAACTACTCAGATAAATTTGTTCAAAATTATAATAAACTATAGACTTTGGATGAACAATATGTCAATGTAGGTTCACTAATTTTAACAAACGTACCTCTGTGGTGGGGGATGTTAATAGTAGGCGAGTGTGTGGGGGGTAATTCAAGGAATTCTCTGTACTTTTGGCTTGATTTTGCTATGACCTGAAACTGCTCTCAGAAAAATAAAGTTTTTTTTAATTAGGAAAAAACCTTTAAAACCTCAGCCTTTAAATAAGGACTTGATTTTAGCTGTCCTCTTTTTTACTTGTTCACATATTAATTCTAGTCCCCTTACAGTTTCACTTCATTTGTAGTGATGTAAGAAAACAACAATTATCACATGAGCCATAAGACTTTTGCTGAAGACAATGCATATTTGTTTGCCTGCTATTCACAATCATTGGTAAAAATCTTAAAGGTTGAATGCTGCAGGCCGAATAATGTCAGATACTCATTTCTTAACTAATTTCTCACTCTACCCTAGGGACAGTGATTCCCTTGCAAACATCTAAAGCATTTATTTTTCCTCTCGTATTCAGAAATAGCATTAGACCCTTTTCTCACTCTTGAAACGACTCTCTTGTCTTAGAGGTTTGCATTTTTTCCATTTGCTTCAACAAGAGCTTCGAGGGTTCTTGACTCTAAAGCTGCATGTCTATCCTGTAATCCAATTTTCAAATCCTTTTCCAGCCACCCCCTGGATCTTTTCATATGACCATACTAGAAACCAAACTTATCCTTAATAAAAAGTTATTTTTTTATTAATAGTCTCCATAGGAGTTAATAGGCTCACAATCCACTCAGATTTATTATCTATGGGCATCTCATGTGCTTCATATTGTATTTACGTATTTTGTTTACTATCTGTCTCCCACACCAAATATATAAATTCCATGAAGAGAGGGGTTTTGTATGCCTTTTTCACGATTATATTCAAAGTGCCTAAAATAGCACTACTAGTGATCAATAAATATTTATTAAATAAGTGAGCAGATATATCTTCTGTGACATCAACTTTAAAAATTGGATGACCTTTATTTCATCTTGTAGTCACTTCCTAAAATTTATATTTCCAAATCAAAGCTATATACATTTGTAAAGCTCTTTTTTAAGTTCAATGATGATGGCAGACCCTGATGGAGTCACCTAGCTATGATGCCTAGAGCTGCTGTGGCCATCTTGTACAAGTCAACATATTGATGATATGAGAAAGGAATGTTAAGAAAATCCTGGACCCTTGATGGCATTATGGAGATGGAATCTTGAGTGATTTCCTCTAGAGATTTGCCTACCTATAGATTTCTAGTTAAATGAGTTCCAACAGCTACACATGAAGCAGTTAGGCTGAGCATATGTCAATTTTAATATTCCTAGTTTTTAAATGTAGACTCTTAAAAGTGATGTTAGCCATCACATTCCACCTGTCAAGTCTAATGGCTTTTCATTGCTCTTGAAATGATACCTAAACCCTTTACGATGGCCTACAAGTTCCTACCCACCTCTGCAATATTTTCTCACACAATAAGAAATCCAGTCACACTGAGCTTTGTGTGTCTTAATCACATCTAATTTTTTGTTGCCCAAAGGCCTTTTCACTTGCTGTTATCTTTACCCAGAATGGTTTTCCTCTACATGGCTGGATATTTTTTTTTTTTATTCTCAGCTATCGGCTTAAATATTATATCCCCTAGTTACTCTCTCCATCATATATTCCTTTTACTTCCTCCATTGTGCTTTTTACAATCTAATTTTTAAAATTTATTTACTACCTGCTTATTGTCTCCCTTCCTCTCTCAAAAATACCCATCACGAGACTATGATCCTTGTTTCTTCAGTTCACTGCTCTATCTCTAACACCTAGTACAATACCTAGTATATATACCTAAATCATGGTCTGTGCTCAAAATATTAAACAAATGAATATGTGATGATCAAGATAAAAGTTATATAAAAAATGTTGACTAGAGAAAATTATTTAAAATCCTTAGGTATTTTTAAAAATGCTCACAATAAAATTAAAAGGAGAATCACACCAAGACAATTTATTTGGTAAATAATTACAATATTTATTAAATAAAGATCCCTTGCAAATGAAAAAAATCAAACGTACCAATAGGTAAATAGGCAAAGGCCACGATCAACTAATTCAATAAAGAATTGCTTAGTAATTTGAGGAAAAAAATAATTTGCACTAAGAAACAATAAATCAGAGATAATTTTTCTCGAAATATTAATGATTTAATAATAAATACTACTAATAGTGTTCATGTGTTCAGTCATCACTATATACTAAGAACTATTAAATTTTTGATGTCTTTAGATGCATAACTGTAAAGGAGTAAATTGGTCACTCTTAGAAATGTTCATGGAACAGCAAGAAGGCCAGTATGCCTGGTGGGAAGGGAGTCGAGGGATCTTTGGAGATGAGGTCTGAGAAACAGTGGTGTCTGGTACTTAGCAGGCACTTAATTTTTTTTTTTTAGGAGTGGCAATCTCTTAGTGGTGGGACTAAAGGTAATTTTTATTTTCAGCTTTTTGCTAATCTATATTTTTGTATTTTCTAAATGAATGCTTATTACCATATCATAAGGAATAAGTATTTTAATAAAAATTTATTTAGAAAAAAAATGTCACCAAAAGAATGTGGGATACTAGATTGTGTTCTGTTAGATACTAAAAATGCCTAATTTTCATCACAGATACAAGACACTTTTTTCAGTATATTTATATTTATTCCTTCTATCTTATCATGTACTTCGTATTTACATACCCTAATTTGATGTGCTCTAAAATATTTAAATCTTCATATCAAAAATCCCATCATTATTTCCAACATAGTTTAATGAAAGAAGCATTTTACTTGAGAGACTGACCTTACAACCTTGGACAAGTCTTATGTTTGTTATTCATCAGTTTCTTCATCTACTTATAAGTTGGTAATGAAAATAAATAAAATATATGGATTCCTTTGAATTATCGGAAAACATTTAAATCCAGCATATTTAGGTTTCCTGAAATCTGTTACTTAACATGCGATTGGTCATTATTGTGCCATGCCATTGAGACTTTGCATATCTTAGCATTTCCACTCTTCCATTTTTATCTTTTTAATTTTATACTTTAAACTATTCTCAGATCAATCCTTGGCTCCTGGCTGTTGGAAAAATATATTTTTTTATGGAGATGATCATAGGGCAATTATGACATTCAACAGTCCAGAACATGTCTCCTTTTTGTGGTTTTACTTGATTCCATTCAGAGATTATTTGAAGAGTTGCAACACTGTTTTTAAATTTACATTTTTCATTTGGCAGTTAAGCAAAACCTTACTCTGTAAATCAGCTGTTTTTGTTTATAAGTGATTCATGCAATTTATTTTGGAAGCAAATAGAAAAAAAATCTATTTAAAAAAGAAGCCCACATCCAACTTCCTTACCAATTTTTCTAATGTAAAAACTGATTTAGAAAGACAAAATAAAAATGGTGAAGTGACTTAATGGGTGCATTTCATACTTACTAGTCAATTTATTCCTCATTTCCAAAATTTAACTTTAAGCAGTCCTAATGCATTAGGGTAAATCTCGTATATATTTTATATTTCTTCATCGTATACAATATTTATTCTTTTGATTGCTGTATATATTTTCACAAAATACCTGCTAGGTGTCTTCTGTGAATAAAAGATACAAAGCTTATGTCTGAGTCAAAATTCAGAGCTCGTAATTGAATCTAGCAAATCAATCAGACAATGAAAGACTGATTTTATGAGTAAACATTACCATTGAGGGTAGATGTAAATCTCTGGCTCATTGCAATTATTCCATAGATGTTTGGCAAATGACAGGTTATCTATAGCTTTTATCCTTTTGTTTTCTTGGAACCATGTTTGCTCAGTCATCTATTTGCATTATAGGCATTAACGATTATCACTGATTACCAAAAATAGGGGCCTGCTTATGTTATAGAGGGGAAGACAGAAGATAAACCAATATGGAATAAATGCATATATTTACATTAAAGTAAGTTATATGAAGGCATTGAACTAGGTTCAGTGATTGAGAATTACAGGTAGGTTGGGGAGGGTCTGTTTATGCAGATGATAACATACCTTTGCTTTTTGGTGAAATGTATAATGAATAACTGAACCATTGATATATACTATATATGGCAGTTTTAATCGAAAGTTTTTAAGCTTTATAGT